TGTGTGTGTGTGAGTGTAAAACACGGAAATACATCAAATTCAACATAAATTCACATTCTGTGTCTATATAACAGGAATGTAATGGGAAAACATCTTTAAAAATACACAGTAAAGAAGCTGTTAAATATATCTCAATATTTGCTCGTATTTGTCACTTCAACTGAGGCAGAACATTTAAAAATGTAAAAAAATAATAATAATTAAGGTTAGTGTTTGGGTAGTTTGTAGTCATTATTAACTTAATGATTAAAAGTCTGTGGTAGGTCCTCATTTAGTCCTGTAAATATGTGTGTTCTTCTTTGAGGTTCTGTTAGTGTAAAGTTTCGGTTCAGTTCATGATCTAATGAGCAAACTGTAGATGGAGAGTAAAGCTGCTGGACACATTACTGTACTGCAGCCATGAACAAGAGACAGAAATGCATTTAGGATTATTAAAATTGTTCTAGAACTCAATGTAGCGACACACATGTATAATATTTCTCACATTAAGCCGCTAAAATGAAACATGAGGAAGAAAATCAATTCGGATGTGCTAATTTTTGTGACCGCTGCATATAATCCTGCGCCGTTTTTTCACAAATACAATACAAAACCGACATAACTCCATTATCATTAGGAGAAAATATATATTAATACAAATATTCTGCAAAACACGATTAATGAGAAGCAGATACCCCTGTTTGGATCCGCGAAGACCGTTCGATGCTAGTTTTTCAGGTTCTGGTTTTCGTCGCGTCTCTCGTTTGGAGAGTGTTTAAGAAGTCAAAAAACACATCTCACAAAGAGTTACTGGATAAAGCTGATTTATTGACAAATATACATTTTTATTTTCACCTTGTTTCACAACCTACTGGCTCGAAGCCGGTAAAAAAGACCCTTTAAGACTGCAGAAACGCTTTCTCATACACGCTAACGTAAACGTTAAAAAAGTGTTCGTTCTCGCTCCGAGGCGTCTGAACGTGATTTTTTGAGCGCTCACTGATCTGAGGTCAGTCCGCTGTGCTGAATCGCCGCTGTTGCCATGGTGATCGCCTCCTCTAACGTCTGCTGATCTTCTAGCTGCATACACAACCGATACACACAAACCGTTCAACAAGATATTCTCTCTATATTCTGTACAAACGACAATAATAGTATTTAGTTTTTCTTGAATAAAATAAATTGGCATACTATAAGTCTTTTTTTAGTTTCCAAATGATTGTATGTTAAACAGTATGCCAATATGGCGTACTATTTACGCTAAAATCGTAATTACATTTTCAAGTTTTTAAACGTGTTGACAACACAAAAAGCGATCAACATGAGGCCAAAACTGCCATGTGAAGTATAAGGTAGTTATTTTAGCTAAATTGTTACATGTAAACACAAACATATTTGATGTACGTTTAGTGTGTAGTATTGTAATCCACGTAATTAGCCGTGTTTCGTACCTGTACTGCGATCTGTGTGCCGTTTTCTGTTGCTAGCAGCGCCACCTGCTGGTACGGCGACGCGTTCACTTCAGTCATGATGCCATTTGACGTTACTATGGCAACCTGCAGGAACGAACACCGTTAGCGATTTGAGCTCTGATGACCACGCGACACCGTCCATCCCATAATACCCACCGGCTGCAGCTCTTTGCCATCCGTAACCATGGTGACCTGCTGCCCACCGATGGTTCCGTCCTGGGTCACCATGGTGACGGCCGTGCCGAGCACCTGCAGGTGTGCGCTGATGATGTCGTCGGTTTCCATGGTGACTTTGGCATCACAATCGTTCTGCTCGGCGTCCTGCGGCGACGCCTCGAAAACCTCTGCGTCTGCGTGCGAAATTGTTCGTAAGTGCCTTCGAATTCGGTGAAAGTGAAAGCAAGTCAAGCGAAATAAGAGAAAGACGTACCGGCGTCCTCCACGGTGTCGAAGTCTCCGTGCGCGGTGCGCTTGTGCATGGCCAGCGTGGACGTCTGTCGGTAGGTCTTCCCGCAGTGGCTGCAGGTGTACGGCTTGCAGTGCGTGTGGACCACGTGATGCTTATAAAGACTGGAGTACTCCGTGAAACTCTTCCCACAGCCGGGAACCGTGCACAGATACGGCTTCTCACCTGAGACAGCAAACAGAACGATGAAACGGACACTAAAGACCGATAACTATAGCGATAACTAATGGTAACGTCCACACCACAACATTCTGTTTATTTTAAGCATGTTGCAGTTTTGTTGCCTGTCGCTTTAAATGCTAGAGCTCTTTGAAGTCGGAAGGATTCTGATAGGCTCTGAATCTTTTTATCGTTCATCGTCTGAAAAAAAATTGCAACTTGTTAAAACTAAAACAAGTAAAAATAAAAGCTAAATAGAAATATTAAAAAGAACTAATAAAAATGACAAGCACATAACAAAATTACGTAAAACGACGTAAAATTAAAACGAAAACGGAATATATAAAAATGTACAAATACAGTACTTCTGAAAGTGATTCCAATGATGCTGTTCCTTTGTATCGTTATAATTGTGGTGCGAAGTTCCCTATTATCAAAGAATTAGAACGATTTTCAAACCTTTATCGTTACCGTTATAGCTATCGTCCCAAGTTGAGTTCACATTTGCGAAATTCGCAGTCAACAGTGTAACAATGTATGAAGTCACTTTCAAATCAATCAGCTTTCTGGTAGTCAACTCATCAAATTCACGTGACCAACATGAACTGGAGCGAAATCTGCACTGGGAACCTATTCGCCGTTTGCGCAAAATTCCCAATCGTGTGGATTCCTATTGGAATTATTAGAGCAGCGGTACATGTGAGCGCTGTGTTACCGGTGTGTATCCTCATGTGGTTCTTGTAGTTGGTTGCGCTGGCGAAGGCTCTTCCGCAGGACGGCTCCGGGCACAAATATGGCCGCTCGCCCGTGTGCGTTCGCGTATGAACCTTACGAATGTTGGAGGTGGTGAAGGAGCGTCCGCAGCCCTCGAACGGACACTTAAACGGCTTCTCGCCTGCAAGAGAAAGACAGTTAGGTCACTGATTTTTTTTCTTTTATATATAGCGCTTTTAACAATACAGATTGTGTCAAAGTAGCTTTACAGTATTAAACAGAAACATCGTGTGTCAATAATGCAAAACGACAATAGTAAACACTCAATTTTTAGTTAAAGGCACAGTTTTAGTTGCACAGATACTATTTAAACTGAACTGAACTGGACGATCAAGTCAACGATATCGCTGGAAATTTCTGCGTTTGAATTCAGTTCGGTCGCGCGTTCGTACCGGTGTGCGTGCGCACGTGTTTCTGCAGGTCTCCGGAGGTTTTGAAGGCTTTGTAGCACATGTCCTCGGGGCATTTGTAGGGTTTCTCGCCCGTGTGTGTGCGCAAGTGGCTCTTGAGACCATAACCGGTGGCGAAAGCTTTAGCGCAGGAGGGCACCTCGCATCGGTACGGACGGTCACCCGTGTGCGAGCGCTCGTGCACCTGCAACACACACACACACACACACACACAGTTGAGGTCAAAAGTTTACCCCCCCCCCTTTCAGAATCTGCAAAATGTTAATTATTTTACCAAAATAAGAGGGATCATACAAAATGCATGTTATTGTTTATTTAGTACTGACCTGAATAAGATATTTCACATAAAAGATGTTCACATACAATCCACAAGAGAAAATAATAGTTGAATTTATAAAAATGACCCTTAATTCTTGACACTGTGTTGTTAGCTGAATGATCCACAGCTGTGTTTAGTGATAGTTGTTCATGAGTCCCTTGTTTGTCCTGAACAGTTAAACTGCCTGCTGTTCTTCAGAAAAATCCTTCAGCTCCCACAAATTATTTGGTTTTTCAGCATTTTTGTGTATTTGAACCCTTTCCAACAATGACTATGATTTTGAGATCCATCTTTTCACACTGAGGACAACTGAGGGACTCATATGCAACTATTACAGAAGCTCCAGATGCTCGCTGATGCGCCAGAAGGAGAAATCATGCATTAAGAGCTGGGGGTGAAAACTTTTGAACCGAATGGAGATGTGTACATTTTTCTTATTTTGCCTAAATATCATATTTTTTCATTTAGTGCTGCCCTTCAGAGGCTACAGAAGATAGTTACTTGACAAAATAAGTAAAATTCACCCTGATCTTCAAATTCTAAAAGTTTTCACCCCTCAGTTGTCCTCGGTGTGAAAAGATGGATCTGCCCCAGTGCATTGTGGGAAGCTCTGTACCTTCAGATGGTGTGCTGTGGTGTAGTATCGGCCGCAGCCCGTGTGTCCACAGCGGAAACTCTTCTCTCCGACCTGCTGGACTTTACCGGAGCTCCAGACCTTCCCCTCGAACATCAGCTGAGCAACAACACACGTTATACGGACAATTATATACACACAATGCATCTGTTTAAATAAGCTAATTAAATTAACGATGAAGATATAATCGAATTAGACTAAAGTACTCTTCTGTACACCAAGCCGTTTTAGAGCTGAAAGTTTAAAGTCTTTGTAATTGTAAGTGAAGCTGCTGCAACGCAAGACAAATTTCAGACAATAAAGTTATATCGTATCGTATTAAATAAGTAGGTTTAAGTTTAACGACTAAAATTGGTAACCTGAAACAAATAAATAAAAAAAGATAAATACAAATATTTTTAATAACTACAACAAAATTATTGAAAAGTGAAGTAAAATTAAAATGAAAACTGAAAATATGAAAAGAAAAGCTATATAAAAATATGAATAAATACTATAATAGTGTTAAAAAATAATAAAACGACTAATGAATAAAATCAATAAATTATCTAAATAAAGCAAATGAGTAAATTAGCAATCTACCTGGCTATCTATCAAAATCAATCAATTATCTGTATAAATACACATTGGTAAATAAAATCAGTTATCAATCTAAATAAACAAAGAAATAAGCAAAATCAATAATTGTTTTAAATAATAAAAAGAAATAAAATTAATACATTATCAATCTATCTGAATAAATATCGAATAATACTGAATCAATCTGAATTGGTTAAATAAACATTTTATTAACATTATTTTGTATTTCATTTTAAATAATAATTATACATTTCCCAGTGTTTTTATGCATTTTTACCTTTATTCCAAAATAATAACGAAAGGCAGTAACAATTCGAACAACATTTTGCAAAGACTTCTTTAGCTAGGCTAACATTAGTTAACATGAACAACACTTCTACAGCATTTATTAATCTTAGTTAGGTGGTATTTTCACTAAGTGCTAAGGGCTCTCTGTTGTAAGTCAATGGGCTGAAGGGAGGCACGCCTCCGCTGTAACTTTACCTGCGGGTGTCGCTGTTGGACAGTGTTACTTTATAAAAACCAGTGACTTTTATACTTTTATTAATGTCATATTTATTAGTTTCATTTTTGTAATATCGATGCCTCCTTGGACGAAACGCCCCTGATATATATAATTAAAATATAATATTGTTACAATAAAGTAACAATTTTGAAATATGTTGATTGCTGTATTTTTTGTTGTTTATCTCAGTATTCCTGTCAGTGTTGTATAAGGGCTTTTATGCATAACAGAATGTGATGAAACAGAGTTTCAAATAGCTGGGCTGAGATATATAGCAATTTTTATGACTGCAGAAATATGTTAATTCAGTACACACATTACTTTTCACACAAAAAATATTAATGATTATTTCAAAGGTTTACTAATGATGCATCACCTGGATATTTTCATGTCTGAAAAAAATTGGGATTAAACGGGTTAATAAAATAAATAAATGATTTATCGTAATGGATAAAGATATAAATAAAATCAATTAATAAATTAAATAAAGTCAGAAAACGTCTATCACACCTGTATGCTGGTCTGCTCCGCTCCGTTTGTGTTCTCGATGTTTTCGTCGACCTCGACCTCTGACCCCGTCAGCTGAGCCACATCAAATCAAACACCAGTCATGAACGTATAAAATCACGAGAACGTATAAAATTACATGTTTTCACACCTTATGTTTGTTACCAAATTCTGTTTTAGCATGTCTAATTACTTGAATGCATAAAAACAATTTTTATTTATTCTTACAACAGCCTTACGAAATTCTGTGTTGTTTATTTACATTTTTCTGGTTAATCGAATGAAGGCATAAAACATGAAAATGAAACAAATTAAATTTTTTTGCTCAATAAATGGGATTTTCCAGTCAAATTAAAACATGGAAGAAATATTGTGTGATTATTCCTTTTAAAAAAATTAAGTTTTATCAATTTAGTAGTAGTAGCCCAGCCGTACTGCTTACGTTCTACTGAATGATGTTAATACATTTCAGCTACAATTTCTTCAAGTCAAGCCGAACTTTTATTTTGACGGGTTGCCGTGCATACATTTAACACCAGTTTTACTCAAATGAAAGGGTAAAACGCTCATGGAGTGCCTCTCAGAGCGGTTCTGGAGATGTTGTTCATGTATTCATGTCCCTATTTATATTTTGATACTACTAATCAAAATATAAAAAACTTTCGAGGAATCACAATGCTGATGACCATTGAAACGCATTATCAGTCTTACGAAAAGGGTCCACACTTATGAATGGGAGAAACAGCAACGTGCAATATGGCGGAATAGTCCCGCCTTCTAAATGAAAGAGCCAATCACTGATTGGTAAAGACATCAACTGCGTCCCAAATGACACGCTATACACTATGTACCTTATGCACTATGTACTCAACCATGTAGTGTATGAATTTAATACATTTAATTACACGCAAACACATATAGACACACACACACACACACACACTCGTTAGTATCACTCTCTCTCCGAGTATCACCAAAGACTCCTATAGTAGGGCCCTATGAAATTTTTCTGGATTAAAATATAAAAATATACTACTTTCTATTTATATTTTGATACTACTAATCAAAATATAAAAAACTTTCGAGGAATCACAATGCTGATGACCATTGAAACGCATTATCAGTCTTACGAAAAGGGTCCACACTTATGAATGGGAGAAACAGCAACGTGCAATATGGCGGAATAGTCCCGCCTTCTAAATGAAAGAGCCAATCACTGATTGGTAAAGACATCAACTGCGTCCCAAATGACACGCTATACACTATGTACCTTATGCACTATGTACTCAACCATGTAGTGTATGAATTTAATACATTTAATTTGTCATTCATAATCTGAGTCCGATAGCTACTGTCTGTTATTTAAGTGCATCGTCCGGGTATTTAAAGTGCACTTTTTCTTTTTAGAATTTACAGTGTGAACGCACTACTCACACTATTTATACTACAAAACGTCATAGAATAGTGCATAAGTACGCGATTTGGGATGCACTGATTGCGTCAATGCAGTGGCCGTTAAGCCCCGTTTACAGTAACTATAACGATAACTATAACAATATTAGCGGACGATATCGTCTGTTTATTCTAAGCGCACGCTCGTCTGCCGCTTTAAATTCTCCAGCTCGTTACAGCAGGATGGATTCTGATTGGCTGTCAGTGTTTGTACCGTTCATCAGCTGGAAAAAAATCGTTCTGGAAGTGATTCCAACGTTATCGTATCTCTGTGCCTTTATCGTTATAGCTGTGGTGTGGACTCTGCTGCTCTTCAATATTGAGAACGATTTTTAGAACTATATCTTTATCGTTATCTTTATAGTTATCGTGACTTTGGTTATAGTTATCGTGATTTTGACTTTGGTATCACACTTGCTCGGCGGCGTCACACACACCTTTCTGCTGGACGCTGACGTGCTGAATGAACGCCGTGGTCCCGTCCTCCAGTTGAACCGTGTTTCCCTCCATTAGACTCGCATCTGAACATCACAACACCGTCAGATCTCTTACACCAGGGCTGTCACTAACATCTATTTGGGTACTCGGGTAACCGGTCGATTATTCTAACGATTAATCGAGTGATCGGATAATTACAATATTTTTTTTGAAGACCTAAGTGAACAATAACCTTTAAAATGACTTAAAATACAAGTACCGTCATCGCGATTAATCGCATCCAATCGCAAGTTATTATTTACATAATATGCGTGTACCGTGTATATTTATTTATTATGCATATAATACACACATACAGCATATATTTTGAAAATATTTACATGTCTATATTTATAGCCATATAAAAAAACCACAACTAATTCCTTGCGTGTTTGCGCACACTTAGCGAATAAAGCTAATTCTGATATAATTTATATTATTAATAAATGTATGCAATATAAACTTATTTTTCCTAAATATATACATGCATGTGTGTGTATTTAGATACTAAATATACACAGTACACACACATATATTATGTAAACAAAAACCTTTATTTTGGATGCGATTTATCATTAACTATAACAATATTAGCGGACGATATCGTCTGTTTATTCTAAGCGCACGCTCGTCTGCCGCTTTAAATTCTCCAGCTCGTTACAGCAGGATGGATTCTGATTGGCTGTCAGTGTTTGTACCGTTCATCAGCTGGAAAAAAATCGTTCTGGAAGTGATTCCAACGTTATCGTATCTCTGTGCCTTTATCGTTATAGTTGTGGTGTGGACTCTGCTGCTCTTCAATATTGAGAACGATTTTTAGAACTATATCTTTATCGTTATCTTTATAGTTATCGTGACTTTGGTTATAGTTATCGTGATTTTGACTTTGGTATCACACTTGCTCGGCGGCGTCACACACACCTTTCTGCTGGACGCTGACGTGCTGAATGAACGCCGTGGTCCCGTCCTCCAGTTGAACCGTGTTTCCCTCCATTAGACTCGCATCTGAACATCACAACACCGTCAGATCTCTTACACCAGGGCTGTCACTAACATCTATTTGGGTACTCGGGTAACCGGTCGATTATTCTAACGATTAATCGAGTGATCGGATAATTACAATATTTTTTTTGAAGACCTAAGTGAACAATAACCTTTAAAATGACTTAAAATACAAGTACCATCATCGCGATTAATCGCATCCAATCGCAAGTTATTATTTACATAATATGCGTGTACCGTGTATATTTATTTATTATGCATATAATACACACATACAGCATATATTTTGAAAATATTTACATGTCTATATTTATAGCCATATAAAAAAACCACAACTAATTCCTTGCGTGTTTGCGCACACTTAGCGAATAAAGCTAATTCTGATATAATTTATATTATTAATAAATGTATGCAATATAAACTTATTTTTCCTAAATATATACATGCATGTGTGTGTATTTAGATACTAAATATACACAGTACACACACATATATTATGTAAACAAAAACCTTTATTTTGGATGCGATTTATCATGATTAATCGTTTGACAGCACTAATAATAATAATTAGTTCAAATAAAGTATCAAAAGCAAGTAATCATATGGTTTTATTGAACAGAACTGTTAAAATACGTAATTTATTACAAACAATAGCGCTAACGTACATTGCGCATAATAACAAATGCCAGCAGAGGGCGCCAACGTCCTGACGATTGTTTTACACTTTACTGCGCGATCTAATCTTGATTCATTCTTGATTCAAACGTCCACTTAATCTTTAATATTTGGTTATTTCTTCACGACAGAAATGCTACAGCCACTGTAATTTCTTGGATATGTGGACATCAAAACGTGTGAACTCCGAGCGAGAGTTTGAGCTTTTATTCTGAAATCGCGTTGAACAGTTAGCATGTTGAGAAAGATATCTATGTATTCTCCTGTGTTTGCGTAGATTTACCTTATAAATACTAGTTATAATACTAATACTATGTGCATATTTCCATGAGATTGTCTCACCGCTGATGGTCTGCTGTATGTAAGCGGTGGATCCGTCGCTCAGAGCCACGGCCTGAAGCCCCAAACCCTCCATCATCTCACTGCAGCTCTGAACACACACACATTACACCTTAAACACGGCCGCATCACACAACTATACTCACGTACAGTCATTACCCGACACCGTACACCTCAAATACAGCAGTCCGGTAACAATACAGTTTGACTGATATTTGAAAATCGTTATGAACAGTTGAGAAATATATCTATGTATTCTCCTGTGTTTGCGTAGATTTACCTTATAAATACGATGAAATGGCGCACGTTGCGTTTCTAGATGAACGTTATAATACGCTAGTAGACAAAAACTTTTATTTTGGATGCGATTAATCGCGATTAATCGTTTGACCGCACTAGTTATAATACTAATACTATGTGCATATTTCCATGAGATTGTCTCACCGCTGATGGTCTGCTGTATGTAAGCGGTGGATCCGTCGCTCAGAGCCACGGCCTGAAGCCCCAAACCCTCCATCATCTCACTGCAGCTCTGAACACACACACATTACACCTTAAACACGGCCGCATCACACAACTATACTCACGTACAGTCATTACCCGACACCGTACACCTCAAATACAGCAGTCCGGTAACAATACAGTTTGACTGATATTTGAAAATCGTTTAGGAGAATCGCTAAGTTTGTTTTAAGTTTGTAAAGCGTTTAGATTTCACACGCCACCTTGGCTACTTTTACCGTTATTCGGGGAATTGTCGTAGGCAAAATCCACGCAATCGGGAGTTTTGTGCAAAACGTTGGTCATGAGAATTCATCGCGTTGATCGACGGAAACCTGCTGGGTTTTAGAGTGATTAACGTACAGTGGATATTTTGCCGCACCAACTAACGAACTAACCTACTGTGCGTTTTTAACATCGCTTAATTTATATTCGGCATTTTAGGTTCATTAAGTTAAAGATTCCTGGTATTGCAATATTATTTTAATGTTAACGAAGCTGATTTTCCTCCTAAATTCTCATAATCGCATTGCTTAAAATTAATTATTATTAAAATTGTATTTTGTTGATCATGGCAGTATTTGTTATACTGGCTTTAATTTATCCAGATTTTAATAACTAAAATTGATTATAGTAATAAAATGCAATAAAACAAATTATCATTCTATCGGTCTAAATAAAGCAATAAATAAAATCAATAATTGCGCCACTTTGAATTCTTTTTTCTCCCAAATTCTCATTATCGCAACGCAAAAAAAGATTTATTATTTAATTTGTTTTATCACGTTAGCATTCGTTGTATTTGCTCTAATGCCGATAATTACAAATATTTTATTGTACTTATAAAATTACATGGAAAAGAAAATAATGAGAATTACAAAACACCCGGTACTTTATTTGTAGTAGTTTAAGTACTAAACATGCTAAAACTATAACTCTAATAAATATAAATTAAAGCTTAATAGAATAATAATAAAAAAAAAACTAATAACATGACGAAAGCACAAAATTGCTGAAACAAAATTAAGTGCTTTCAAACACTTTAAGTGTAAAGCGTTTAGCTTCCACATGCCACTTATCGAATTTTCGCAGGCGAAATACACGCGATCGGGAGTTTCGAGCTAAGTGTTGGTCAGGTGAATTTGTCGTGTTGACCAACAGAAATCTGACTGATTTGAAAGTTATTCTGTGTTTGCTGCGGTTTACAGTCGATATTTTGCCGTGAAATTATGGCCCTGCCTACTACCGAAGTTTTTGGCGTTGCTTAGCAACAGAAGTTGGATATTTTGCCCTGCCTTCTAATGAACTTTTTGGCGTTGCTTAGCAACAGGAGTTGGATATTTTGCCGCGAAATTATGGCCCTGCCTACTACCGAAGTTTTTGGCGTTGCTTAGCAACAGAAGTTGGATATTTTGCCCTGCCTTCTAATGAACTTTTTGGCGTTGCTTAGCAACAGGAGTTGGATATTTTGCCGCGAAATTATGGCCCTGCCTACTACCGAAGTTTTTGGCGTTGCTTAGCAACAGAAGTTGGATATTTTGCCCTGCCTTCTAATGAACTTTTTGGCGTTGCTTAGCAACAGGAGTTGGATATTTTGCCGCGAAATTATGGCCCTGCCTACTACCGAAGTTCTTGGCGTTGCTTAGCAACAGAAGTTGACTACAATAAATCCAGCAGACAGCTGTTGCTAAGCAACATACTGTCCAGTTGAGTTTTAAAATAAGCTAAACGCACCATATTTGCGCTGCTGCAAAACACACTAAAAAGTACCATGTTACTACCATGTGTTTCCACGCGTATCATGGTAATACCGTGGTGTGTTCGAGGAAGCCGGGAGCAGCATGTAAATCCCTTGGAACATGATTCTGGTGATAATACTGTACCATGGTACTACCACAGTACTTTAGTAAGTGTGTTCACAGTGCAGATGAACGCAGACACGCGCACGCCGCAGGCCTCGTGTCTCACACACACACACACACACCAAACACACACACAGACGGACAGAGCGCGGGAATAACGCGAATAATGTCGGTGTGCGTGTGTCTCTAGCGCGGCTGTGTGTCCGCCGCTATCCCATCATTCTCTCCGGAGCAGCAGCAGCGCAGGCTGGGATACTCACCACCGCCAGCGGCCCGACATGCACCGCGACACCGGACGCAGCGCCTCAGTCCTCCGGCAGGCGGCGCTCAAACAGCAACTTATAAGATAGCAACTTTGACCCTGGAGCACAAAACCAGTCATAAGAGTCAATTTTGTGAATCTGAGATGTATGCATCAGCTGAAAGCTGAATAATAAGCTTTCCATTGATGTATGGTTTGTTAGGATCGGACAATATTTGAAAATCTGGAATCTGAGGGTGCAAAAAAATCTAAATATTGAGAAAATCATCTTTAAAGTTGTTCAAATGAAGTTCTTAGCAATGCATATTACTAATCAAACATTAAGTTTTGATATATTTACGGTAGGAGATTTACTAAATATCTTCAAGGAACATGATCTTTACTTAATATCCTAATGATTTTTGGCATAAAAGAGAAATGATACAATGTACTGTTGGCTATAGCTACAGATACACCTGTGTTGCTCATAATAATGGTTCAAAGAAGTATATAAAATAAACAGAAATAACAAATACGTGCGCTAAAAAGCAGAATGTTTAAGAGGCTTTCATTGCAGAACCTAGAGTAAAACTATGATACACGAATTATAATATTCAGAGGATTAAAAGCCACAGAGCGCCCCCTGCCGTCAACAGAGAGACTCACATCCGGTCCTCCACATTCACTTCCGCCCCGTTCCTGCCGTAGATGCGGCCGCCATCTTGGAACGGTCAACTTGACGTCATTCACCACACTGTAGGTTCTCAGCCGTTGTGGCGTCTTCCGAATATGACGTCAAGTTGACCGTTCCAAGATGGCGGACGGCTTCCATATAGCGGTCGCTAATGAGGCATCTTTTATTTTATTATTATTATTATTCCTCTAATGATATATATATCTACGGTTTCTGCTCTTAATAACCCGGAACCGGAAGAATACAGCTAGTGTGGACGAAATGTTATTCACAAAAACACTCACTGAGGAAATGTATAAGTTACAGCAAAAACTGACCTTTATTGTTATAATCAAAAAGCTTTTTATATATATTTTTTTTTAATCTTAGTACTGTTGTTTAAAAGTTATTTGTGACAAATATTGATATTTATTGTAGCATTATTATACCTTGTGTCTTTTATTTTTCATTAATTAATAAGTATATATATATATATATAACTATATATGTAGTAAATAAGTAAAAACTGAGATTTTCTCACCTGGATCAACTCAGTCTCTACTGCAGACCTCCTTATAAACAGCTTGCTGTTGTTGTATTGGATTCAGAGCAGCACTAGACATTATAACATTACCATTATTCTTAACACCTGACGTTTTGACTCCAGATGTGCCGAACAATCACAGAAACCAGTTTACGAACAGCAGCTTTTGTTTACTGTGTAAATCCTGCAGCAAAATCACAATCAGCATAAATCTCTGAATCATAAATCACACCATCTGCATCCTATTCTCATTATTTACAATGATTAAAGTCCAGAGGACAAAAAACCGTCGGCGATATTAAACCGCGATGATGACCAGGATATGACATCATCGGCTGATGACCAACATTTAAAGTGCTCTGATTGGCCGGTCGCGGAACACGCGCGGCTCACATTTCAACACTGAAATTAGATTCGCGACAACAAAACGCATTTCCGACACACTGGCTAACGTTACTGCGATGCAAAAAAAAAATATTCACCATCATTACCATAATTAAACAAACTTCGATCCTCCCGACAAGTTCTTGTTACCAAAATATTACTAAATTATTCTCAACGTCATTACCGTAATACACAAAAAATTAATTGTTCTCATTACCATAATGAAAAATATGGCCATTCTCATTACCGTCACCAACAAAAAAAACATAATATGAAGAGATTTTGAACAAAATGATTCTCATTACCATAATTAAAAATACACACGAATTCTCATTACCGTCATTAAAAAAAATGCATTTCTCATTACCATAATGAAAAATAGGATCATTCTCATTACCGTCACACCAAAAAAAACATAATATGAAGAGATTTTGAACAAAATGATTCTCATTACCATAATTAAAAATACACACGAATTCTCATTACCGTCATTAATTAAGAAAAATGAATTTCTCATTACCATAATGAAAAATATGACCATTCTCATTACCGTCACACCAAAAAAAACATAATATGATGAGATTTTGAACAAAATAATTCTCATTACTATAATTAAAAATATACACGAATTCTCATTACCGTCATTAATTAAGAAAAATGAATTTCTCATTACCATAATGAAAAATATGACCATTCTCATTACCGTCACACCAAAAAAAACATAATATGATGAGATTTTGAACAAAATAATTCTCATTACTATAATTAAAAATATACACGAATTCTCATTACCGTCATTAATTAAGAAAAATGAATTTCTCATTACCATAATGAAAAATATGACCATTCTCATTACCGTCACACCAAAAAAAAACATAATATGAAGAGATTTTGAACAAAATAATTCTCATTACTATAATTAAAAATATACACGAATTCTCATTACCGTCATTAATTAAGAAAAATGAATTTCTCATTACCATAATGAAAAATATGGCCATTCTCATTACCGTCACCAACAAAAAAAACATAATATGAAGAGATTTTGAACAAAATGATTCTCATTACCATAATTAAAAATACACACGAATTCTCATTACCGTCATTAAAAAAAATGCATTTCTCATTACCATAATGAAAAATAGGATCATTCTCATTACCGTCACACCAAAAAAAACATAATATGAAGAGATTTTGAACAAAATGATTCTCATTCTCATTACCATAATTAAAAATACACACGAATTCTCATTACCGTCATACAAAAAAAAAAAAAAAAAAAAAGATGGAAAAATGTTTTTTCTCATTAATATCGTTATATTTATTCTCATTACGTTACACTTTTTGTTTTGTTTTCCCCCCAAAAAATCTTGTTCTCAACACTGTATTACAGAAATAGTATTCTTATTTATTTAAATTCAGTCAGTACAACAAATACTACCATAAAATGTAAAAATAATTTACTATTTGACTTTATATATTAACATCAACTAATTGTATTGTAACAGTAATGAGAATGATTTTGTTTACAGTAATGAAATTTTTAGTTTTTTGCATCCCAGTAATTTGTAGACGAAATGCGCTTAATGGTCATGAAAACAATGTCAAGACGTACTAAAATATCCTTAAAACAGGTTTGATTTTCTTTCAACAAAATACAGTTTCTTTGAAGTTTGGCGCGAGGATCGGAAAACACCGCCGGAGCCAAAGATCCCGGCAGCTCCGCGGAAACGCCGCCGTCTGAAGAAAGAGAAAGCGAGTGCTGATGTCACTTCCTGCGTTACACTTTTTGTTTTACCTCAACACAAATGTTTTCCCCCCAAAAAATCTTGTTCTCAACACTGTATTACAGAAATAGTATTCGCATTTATTTAAATTCAGTCAGTACAACAAATACTACCATAAAATGTAAAAAATAATTTACTATTTGACTTTATATATTAACATCAACTAATTGTATTGTAACAGTAATGAGAATGATTTTGTTTACAGTAATGAGATTTTTAGTTTTTTGCATCCCAGTAATTTGTAGACGAAATGCGCTTAATGGTCATGAAAACAATGTCAAGACGTACTAAAATATCCTTAAAACAGGTTTGATTTTCTTTCAACAAAATACAGTTTCTTTGAAGTTTGGCGCGAGGATCGGAAAACACCGCCGGAGCCGAAGATCCCGGCAGCTCCGCGGAAACGCCGCCGTCTGAAGAAAGAGAAAGCGAGTGCTGATGTCACTTCCTGAACGATGTTCTCAGAGCACAGGGCCGTCACACAGCACTCTCTGAGCTCCAGACGCGAAGAGCTCCAGCAGCCAGTAGCGCGGATCCGCCAACACTGCGCACAGAAGAAGAATGAGATCAGACGTGGCTTCATATCACAGAGAGAAGAGAGAGAGACTTTATCCTTAACACAGACCATAGCTATAGTTTGTGCAAACGTATGTTTATTCAAGTTTCATCAGTTAAAATGTATCTATCTGCATTTTATTCAGCGATAACTGGATGCCTTTGTCCATATTAGGGATTTCCTGGAGCGTCGTCAGTGCTATTACTTCTGCGATGCATGTGGCGTTTCTGCGCAAGAGCGCCCTCCGGCTTCCAGTATGAATTAAACAGTCGTTACATTACGTGTGTGCTCAGTAATGCTCACAACACCCTATTTTGGGTACAAATAGGAAAGATGATACTTTTCTCTAAAGAAGCAGGATTCCCTGAATTATCGTCATTGATATCGTTATCGCAATAAATACCAGAAAGTATCGTGATATATATTTTAAGCCCATATCGGCCATCCCTAGAAGTAGCACAGCAATGAGGAGCCGCTCACGGCTCTGAGAGATGTGTCTTACCCATGTCTCCCGGCTCCAGCCACAGACTGAAGGAGCGGCAGTGTGTTTGGCATCGCTGGATCGGAAGAACACGAACCCACGGAGAGCCTTCAGCCACCACCAGCCAACCCAACACCTGCACACGCTACAACAACAAGAAGAGACATAAATGAGATGAGCATATATATATATATATATATATATATATATATATAAGAAACACTGTGTTCCGACCGTGTGTTGAGCGCTGGTGCTGTCGCTCAGTTGGCAGCGCTGCAGTGTTGTTCCTGTGTTCTCCAGCAGAGGGCAGAGCTCAGCGTCAGGAAACAACCACTGGAGAAGCGTCTCTCTGGGACTGGACGAGAAACTCCTGACACACACACACACACACGAGCTTCAAACACACACAGATACAGATGCTGATGATCATCTAATAATCAGAGTGCTGCAGGTTACCAGAGCAGGGTGAAGTTGGCCGGTGTTGCTGTGAGCGTCTGCGGCTGTGAGAACTGCTCCAGGTGAGACACACGGCGAGACATAGACTCTCCGCCCTGAAACACACACACACATTAACCTCCATCACCACACACTGTGTGTATGTGTGTGTGTGTCTGTACCTTGAGCAGCAGTGGCTGTGTGTGTCTGTCGATCCCCGCAGACGCTCTCAGCTCCAGCACCGCAGTCACGTCTGCGCAGGCCGAGCAGTTCCCCCGCGGCGTCTGCGGCGCACCGGATGCCCACCACTCGTGAAACCCTGCCCACACACACACATACACACACACAGGCATGTTGAGATGGACGCGTGTGGAGAGCGTGTGGACAGTGTTGGGGGTAATGCATTACAAGTAACACGAGTTACGTAATCAGATTACTTTTTTCAAGTAACTCGTAAAGTAATGGATTACTTTTTAATTTAGAAGGAAATATCTGAGTTACTTTTTCAAATAAGTAACTCCAGTTACTCTTTCTCCATGTGTTGAGTGACAGCTCTGGTGTTGCCATGGTGACAGAAATCAGGAGTCAGTGCAGAGCGTTGTGTGTGAACATGATCTTACTGTAGTTCTAGACTCAATATCAACATGTGTTTACTCATCTCACTGCACACAAACACATTCAGTGCTCCTCACAATCAATAAAAACAGTCCAATGCAAACTCAGAATATTACACAAAGCTGCAATAATTAAATATGTTAAATAAGACAAATATCATTATGTACTTAATCCCAATTTATTAACCAGTGTCTTTGCTGCTGACCTTCCGATGATCCAATTCAACCATACTAAACAAAAATGACACATTTACGCATCATTTTTGTTATTGCTGAATAGTGTTGAACTTTCTTCTGCTGCGTCATATTCTTCATGCGATTTGAGCTGCGCCCTCTACTGTACAGACGAGAATTTACATTTTCTTCAGCCTGAGGCGTATTTGTTTCACTTCTGTTGAGAAAGGGCTTTTACATTTGTAAAATAACTTTTTTATATTAGAAACAAACAAGCAAGCCCTGCCCAGATTTAAAAAGTAACTCAAAAGTAACGTAATGCATTACTTTCCATAAAAAGTATGTAATGTAATTACTTACTTTTTTAGGGAGTAATGAGAATATTGTAATGCACTACTTTTACTTAACTTTCCCCAACACTGCATGTGCAGAGCATGTCTGATGACGTCTGATGGTGTCTGACGGAGTCCGATTGTGTCCGACGACGTCCGATTGTGTCCGACGGTGTCTGATGGTGACTGACGGAGTCTGACTGTGTCTGACGGCGTCCGATGGTGTCTGACGGCGTCCGACTGTGTCTGACGGTGTCTGACGGAGTCCGACGGTGTCTGATTGTGTCCGACTGTGTCTGATTGTGTCCGACGGAGTCCGACTGTGTCTGATTGTGTCCGATTGTGTCCGACTGTGTCTGATTGTGTCCGACTGTGTCTGACGGCGTCTGATTGTGTCCGACTGTGTCTGATGGCGTTTGACGACGTCTGACTGTGTCTGACGGAGTCTCATTGTGTCTGACGGAGTCTGATTGTGTCCGACTGTGTCTGACGGTGTCTGACGGCGTCTGATTGTGTCTGACGAAGTCCGATTGTGTCTGACGAAGTCCGATTGTGTCGGACGGCGTCTGACGGCATCCGATTGTGTCTGACGGCGTCTGGCGGAGTCCGATTGTGTCTGACGGGTTCTGACAGCGTCTGACTGTGTCTGACGGCGTCTGATTGTGTCTGACGGCGTCAGATGCTGCCTGACGGTGTCTTATGTGTCGCATTGATTGTTTCTGACGGCGTCTGATTGTGTCTGATGTCTGTCTTATGTGTCTTATGGTGTCTGATTATGTCTGACGGTGTCTTGTGTCTGATGACGTCTGATTTTGTCCGACGTGTCTTATGTGTCTGATTATGTCTGACGGTGTCTGATTATGTCTGACGGTGTCTTATGTGTCTGATGACGTCTGATGTGTCTTATGGTGTCTCGATTATGTCTGACGGTGTCTTATGTGTCTGACGTGTCTTATTATGTCTTATGGTGTCTGATTATGTCTGACGACGTCTGATTGTGTCTTATTGTGTCTGATTATGTCTGACCGTGTCTTATGTGTCTGATTGTGTCTGACGTGTCTTATGCGTCTGATTATGTCTTATGGTGTCTGATTATGTCTGACGGTGTCTTATGTGTCTGATTGTGTCTGACGTGTCTTATGCGTCTGATTATGTCTTATGGTGTCTGATTATGTCTGACGGTGTCTTATGTGTCTGATTGTGTCTGACGTGTCTTATGCGTCTGATTATGTCTTATGGTGTCTGATGGTGTTTTATGTGTCTGATGGTGTCTTATGTGTCTGATGACGTCTGATGCGTCTCACCGTGCAGGTTGTATTTGTTGGCGATGGGCAGCTCCAGCAGCCGCGCGTGACTGAGAGGAGATGAGCTGTTGTGTCCGGCTGCACTCGAGGAGTCCAGCAGCGGCGCACTGTGAGGATACGTGAACACCAGCACCACCATCAGCAGAACCCCCAGCGCCAGCACCAGCTGCACACACACACACACACCTGTCACACACATCTCACACACACGTCACATAAACACGTATCTGTGACACGCGATACACATGCCAGTATATAAAACATATATATATGTAAAATATTTTACAAATAATGTGTTTTATATTATACCTAAAAACATAATAAAATATATTTTATGTTACAAAAATATCACAAATAATATTTTTGTTTTCAATTACATGCAAGTATATTTTAAATCATTTAAAATAATTTATAATATATATATTTTTTTTTTTTTTTTGTTGAGTTTTTGACTTGCGTTCTAGCGATCTGCTCTCTCGCTTCACTAGAATATCTTGCCAATGTGTTTTTGCAGTGTGTGTTGATCTGGCTCCTCGCACCTTGACAGTGGCTCTCAGGATGGGGAACTGCGGCGGGTCCCTGCGAGGCTCGTTAGTCTCCAGCACCTGCTTGATGAACTTCTCGATCTCTCTCTCGCTCATCCCGTAGCGGTAACCGGACTGCCGCAGTATGTCGATGCTCTCCGACAGCTTATCATAGATGCAGGGCTCACTGAGAGACGAGCCCATGATACCAGTGTGTGTGTGTGTGTGTGTGAGAGAGAGAGAGTCAGGGCCTCATCTTCATCACCAGCATCATCTTCTTCATCAGAGTGTGGAAACAGCTGCAGATGAGTGTGTGTGTGTCTGTGAGAGAGAGAGTGAGTGAGTGTGTGTGTGTGTGAGAGAGAGAGAGAGTGTGTGTGAGAGTGAGAGAGAGTGTGTGTGTGTGTGTGTGAGAGAGAGAGAGTGTGTGTGTGTGTCTGTGTGTGAGAGAGAGAGAGAGAGTGTGTGTGTGTGTGTGTGTG